CTCTTCGGGAGCCAAGCCAACCCCGCCTAAGGTCCACCACGGCACTGGAAACGCGTGCTAACGGCTTGCACTTACACATGCACTTGGTTTTTAAACAGCTCAGAACTGAGTATAATTGCTTCATGTTCAAAGCACACGATTTGATAAGTTGACCACAGTATACACCTGTGACAACAGCACCACCATCAAGATACTGACATTGGCCGTGCACGGTGGCTCGATGCCTTATCCTAGCCACTCTTGGGGAGGCTGAGGCGGGTGGATCACTCAGCGTCAGCGAGTTCGAAACCAGCCTAAGCAAGAGTGAGCATCCGTCTCTACTAGACAAATGAAAAGAATTAATTGGCCAACTAAAACTACATAGAAAACAAATAGGCCAAAACATGGGTGGCATGCCTTGTTAGTCCCAGCTACTCGGAGGCGAGGCAGAATGGATGCTTAAGCCCAGGAGTTTTGAGGTTGCTGTGAGGGAGCTGATGCCACAGCATCTAGCTGGGGCAACAGGTGATGAGACCCTGCTCAAAAAAAAAAAAAATGATACTGAACAGTATTCATCTCTCCAAAAAATTTTCTCCTGGGGCCCTTGGGTAAATTCCTCCCTCCACTCACCCCTGGCCACCACTGATCTGCTTTTGTCACTACAGATTAGTGTCGGACCAGTAGCATTTACTTTTAGCCCTGAATTATCTTTAAGCACTTATCACAGTATCATGAGACTATTTTATCCCAGACAACACAGTGACGGGAAACTGCCGCACAGAGAGGTGAAGCGGCCCACTCTCAAGATCACAAAAGCCAACCAAGTGTAGCCAAGGCTGGAAACAAGGGAGCGAGCAGCGTGGCTCTATGCCTGGGCCGGCCCCTTTCGTTAACCTACACCGTCTCGCGAACTTGGAAACTCAGATACAGGGCCCTGCGCGTAGCTAGCGCTGCAATCGTCGTCATTTGCTATTGCCAACATCACTCTGCGGAAAGCAGAGAAACTGCCTGTCTGCCAGCCCCTCACCCCCAAGTTTACCTAACCCCTCGAAATAAGAGTGTCCCGTAACGGTGCTGGCTCTCTGGGGGGTAACGAGTAGATCAATACTGCATTGTGAGAATCTTCTCTAGTTCTGCCTGGTTAGAACCTAAATAAAAATAGAACTAGCGGGAAGTATAGCCTGCCCTGTTGCGCAGCATAACTCCGAGGCTGTGCATAGCGCGTTGACTGCTGCACAGAGCACAAGCCCCTCTTTCAGGGACCGAGGGGAGACCAAAAATAGCACATTGGGCTTAAAAACCCAAGCACCTTGAAAGCATTTGCTGAAGTTGTATAAAAAAGCTGACAATGATACAAGCCTTAAGGGATTCATTCATTATCACTTCCTGAACGATTAACTGAGCGGTGCAAAGCTGGTTTTTCGAAAGTCCAATCTGTCCCTGTGCTGTTCTGCGATGACACAGACACATTCGCAAGAATAGGAGACTAACCCCCTTCTGTCAGCAGACACAGGTGAAGGAAGAGTCCCCAGCAAATTCCTCTGAACCTTCTAAAAAAATTCTTAGAATAGAAGTCATTTAGCAATAGCCCATCTACACCTCTTTCTCTATGTCAGGGTTTCTCAACCATGGCTCTAAATACCACGTGACCAGATGATTTTTTTTTTTTTGAAATACATGGTCTCACTCGGCTGCCCTGTGGGTAGAGTGCAGTGCATCATCAGACGCTCACTGCAACATCAAAATCTCTGGGCTCAAGCGGATCCTCCAGGCCTCAGCCGTCCTGAGTAGTTGGGGACTACAAAGCGGTGCACCATTACACTCCACTAATTTTTTTAATTTTTTGTAGAGACAGGGTCTTGCTATGTTGCCCAGGCTGATCTTGGACTCCTAGGCTCAAGCGATTCTCACTCAGCCTCCCAGAGCACTACGATACAGGCATGGCCACCACACCCGGCCAGATGATGTCTTGTTGTGGGCTCATCTCTAGTGCCTTATAAGGGCATTTTGTTGTTGTTGGTTAAGCAAAAACTAAACTCTTTTTGTCAAGTTATCTCAAAGCAAACCTCTATGTAAGCTCTCCTTGTGGTGCCCAATGAAGAGCACAGTGGAAGTGTTTGCAGATTAAAGGAAAATCCATCATTTTTCCAATGAGCTAGCGGTCTGAGAGTTCCAAGAATAAACAAAACCTGTTTCCTGGGAAACAAGTATTTGTACAAGGTCCTATGTTGATGGGGGACAGTGGTTTTTAGTCCTGACTACACTTCAGAATCAGCTGGGAAACTGGCCACTACTTCTCACATTTGAGCGTGCACACAAGTCCCTAGGAATCCTATTAAATGGTAGGTTCTCAGGTGGGTCTGGGGTGGGTCTGAGACTCTGCAATTCTAACAAGCTCCAAGTGATGAGAATGCCGCTGCTCATGGACCACATTTTGGAATAGCAAGGTTGTAACCACTTCCACCAGAATCACCAGAGTGGGACCAAGGCAGGTCATTTTAAAAGCTTCCACGGCCAGGTGCCGGTGGCTCACCGCTCTGTAATCCTAGCTCTCTGGGAGGCTGAGGCAGGCCAGATCACTCCAAGTCAGCGATTCGAGACCAGCCTGAGCAAGAGGAAGACCCCTGCTCTCTTACAAAAATAGAAAGAAATTAATTGGCCAACTAAAAAAATATATATAGTCGGGCATGGTGGCACATGCCTGTAGTCCCAGCTACTTGGGAGGCTGAGGCAGCAGGATTGCTTGAGCCCAGGAGTTTGAGGTTGCTGTGAGCGAGGCTGACGCCACAGCACTCTAGCCTGGGCAACAGAGTGAGACTCTGTTTCAGAAAAAAAAAAAAAGCTTTCCAGGGGATCCTAATGTGCAGCCTGGATGAAACCCACAAGAATGCCAGACAAACACTGGGAGGCTGGAGTTGGCTGGCCACATGGTCATTAGAGCCATGGTTGAGAAACCCTGGACTTGAATTAGGGGCAACCACTCAATGGGTAGCTACTATTAATACACCTGTCCTTGATGAACAGTTAACAGGTTGTCACTGTAACTAGGTGATGCTTTGTTAGAGGCTATTGGAGATAAAGATTAAGATAGTCCCTACCCTCAAAACTGAAGTGAGGATACCACTAAATAGGAAGCAAAGTGGTGAGAGGGGGTAGTATGGGATAGTGGTTAGAGCCCTGGATAAGGACACAAAGACGAGCTACCACCACTCACGCACCGAGTGGCCTTGGGCAGGTTGCTGCTCCACCTGAGGCTTGGCTGTACAACGGATACACTCACATCTGCTCCTCCCAGGTTTACGACCATCAGTATCAAAGAAGCCACCAGATAGGCAAGGGCATAGCCCTGTCTGCAGTGGTTCAAGTTCCGAGGGCAGTCCCAGCTGGTGTGTACTGCCAGTCCCCACTTCTCATCCTCCTGTGTGGTACCTTATTCATCCTTCTGGTGGCAGCATCTAGCCCAGGAGCTGGCACACAGGACAGCAGAGCAAAACTGACCATTCATTTTATGTGAGGAAAATTAGGCCCAGGAAAAAGACATGCTGAAGATCCCACCTTAGTTTTCTTCTGAGTCTCAGGCCTGAGCACTCCTCTGTGCCTGTGCACTTTAGAGGAAATACAAATGATTCTCCAGCCCTTGTGTCTAACCGTTGACAGAGGGCTGGCCCAGGCTCAGCAGCCTGCCTTGAAAAGGTTGGGAGGTTCAGATCACAGCACCAAAGCGCACCTGAGACCTTGGAATGGCTCATTTGGCGGCTTCTGATAACACACAGATTATTCCTTGGCAGAGAGGGCAGAGGTTCTACCACCAAACCAGAATGCCTTTCTTCACCAGGGACCCTTGTGCCCTGAATACCTTAACCCGCCACCGTCATGAACCATCCTTCCCCAAACACCTCCTAGGTTGCCTGAAAGGGAGCAGAAGCAGCACCTTTAGTAGTCACCACAAGCTGCCACTTGCAGCCTTACCTTTTGCGAATGATGTTAATGTTCTTCTCTAACAAGTCATAGCGGATGTACTCATTAGGTTCAAAGTGGCTCATGGCCACCTTGGCCCGTTGGCACAGGACTGAGGCCACATGATACTGCCGCACACCCAGGGCTTTCTGCAAGAAGAAAGACAATGGCAACTGTCAATGCAGTACTTAGGGAAGTCTACCCTTTTCACTATACTGAGGACAGCTCATTATGGTAAAAAAAAAATTGAGGAATTAAAATGTCAAACATGGCCGGGTGAGGTGGCTCAAGCCTGTAATCCTAGCACTCTGGGAGGCCGAGGTGTGCGGATTGCTCCAGGTCAGGAGTTCAAAATCAGCCTGAGCAAGAGTGAGACCCTGTCTCTACTATAAATAGAAAGAAATTAATTGGCCAACTAATATATATAGAAAAAATTAGCTGGGCATGGTGCCGCATGCCTGTAGTCCTAGTTACTCGGGAGGCTGAGGCAGGAGGATTGCTTGAGCCCAGGGGTTTGAGGTTGCTGTGAGCTAGGCTGACGCCACGGCACTCTCTCTAGTCTGGGCAACAAGCGAGACTCTGTCTCAAAATAAATAAATAAATAAATAAAACAAAATGTCAAACACTGTTCAGTGTCTGCAGCCTTTGTTTGCTCATCTGCAGCACAGGGATGACACAGCAGTCACGAGAAACATAGCTGGGATAAAAGAAAATGTGCAAAGCATTTATAGGCAGAATTGCTAGGATCAAAATCAAGTTCTACGGATCAGTCCTAAAGATAGATGTAAAAGCTGCAATGGAAGATAGTTTGAGAAAAGAAGATTCTAGAAGTTCATAGTGACAAAGGCATGAAAGATGGCCAGAAGATAACATTCAATGGTGAAGGAGACCACGAACCAGGACTAGAGCCCGGAGATATTATCATTGTGTTAGATCAGAAGTACCGTGCTATTTTTACTCGACGAGGAGAAGACCTTTTCATGTGTATGGACATATAGCTGGTTGAAGCATTATGTGGCTTCCAAAAGCCAATATCTACTCTTAACAACCAACCCATAGTCATCACCTCTCATCCAGGTCAAATTGTCAAGCATGGAGATATCAAGTGTGTGCTAAATGAAGCCATGCCAATTTATTGTAGACCATATGAAAAGGGTTGCCTAATCATCGAATTTAAGGTAAATTTTCCTGCAAATGGCTTTCTTTCTCCTGATAAACTGTCTTTGCTGGAAAAACTCCTACCTGAGAGGAAGGAAGTAGAAGAGACTGATGAAATGGATCAAGTAGAACTCGTGGACTTTGATCCAAATCAAGAGAGACGGCGCCATTACAATGGAGAAGCATATGAGGATGATGAACATCATCCCAGAGGTGTTCAGTGTCAAACCTCTTAAGGAGGCCAGTGAAGGACACTCACTGCTGACATTTTATATGCAGTAGTGAATGAGTGAAGGTCTATAATCATAATACGCTCACTACTTGCTATTGTTTTTCTTATAATATTCAACTATAGTAGTGTTTTAAAAGTTAAATTAATAAACACAAATGTAAGAACTGAACAACAAAAAAAATCAAGTTCTATCATGTAAGTTGTATAAATGTAAGAAATTTTCCCATTGTCGAAGTCCAAGAGGAGACAGGAAATGAGGCTATAACCAGCTCTAGTGATCATACGGGGTACTGGGAGGTTAAGTAAGACCAACTGTGGGAGCTCTCATTAAGCTGTAAAGCGCCACCCAAATTATAGCTGCTATTCTATGTACACTGTAAGTTCCTTCAGGGGTGAGATCAAGCTTTATTTATCTCTGTATCTGGACTACCTGGCGCATACTAGAGATTAAATAAATATTTGCTGAATAGGCGAAAGAATGAACGAGGAAAACCCCGTGCATGAGCTTTGGATGTTCATTCCTTCAAAAGGTGGTGCCTAATTCCCCACGCCTTGCATGCGTGGTGGACTTGTCAGCTTACTGCTAATGATGACAAGCTATGCTATGTGACTTTGAGATTAGGTCATAAAAAGGACCACTTCTGCCTGGCTCGCTCCCTCTCTTGGATTGCTCTGGGGGTAGACAGTCACCATGTTGTTAAGCAGTCCTGGGAGAGGCTGACCTAGAGACGAACACAGGCCTCTTACCAATAACCAGCGCCATCTTGCAAGCGAACGCTCCAGCCCCAACCCAAGCCTTCAGATAATTGTGGCCCTGGCTGACATCTTAACTGCAACTTCTTCAGCAACCCCAAGGCAGAACCAACCAGCCAAGCCACTTCCAAATTCCTAGCTCACAGAAACTGTAAGAGATGTTTATTGTTGTTTTAAGCCTCTAAGTTTGGAAGCATTTGTTATGCCACAATAGGTAAATGATTGTTATGATGGGGTCTGTGTTAGCTAATTTTAAACCATGGATGACAGCCTTCACAGGGAACATTGTGACCAGGGAAGAATAAATGAATCCAAAGAAATGACAGCAGGAAAGGAAAAGCTGCTTCCCTTCCAGGTGGTTGCTGTTCTCCACTCAGAGGGTCATACCCTTGGGTAAGGGAAGAGGCAAAGCTGAAGCCACTACCCCAGGCTCCCTTCTTTGTGTCACCTGAATATGTAAATGCAAACCTGCTAACCTTAGCATGTGAACCCAGTTTGGGTCCACAGTTGTCATTCCCTGTTCAGGTCACCTAGGAGTAAGAACAGGCCACATTCTGAAACAGCACCCCCAGCCATCATCCACCCTAAAGGGGTGACCTCCTCATTTCCCATCTGCTTGCCCTCCAGCTCAAACCCCACCAATGGCACATCCAAGGACTTTCACAGTGCCAGTGCAGAGAACACAGCACATTCAGCGGCAGCGGTAACTACCACCCCTGCGACAGCGGGAGGAGCCCGGTACAGAGGGGTGGAGTGGCAGTGACCTTGTGTCTGGCAGAGACTGCCTCACTACTTACTGACTGGTCTTGGACAATTTGACCTCTCTCAGCACTCACTTCCTCATAGAGCTACTGTGAGGATCAGGAAAGATTATACAAAGTACCGAGTGTGGCTTCTATTACTTACCCTTGTGCGTTTACGTACACACACACAGCCCCCTGGGGGTCCTTTACATAAACAGAGAATCACACAAGCTGTTCTGCATCTCGCCTTTTCATGTATTAACATGCCTTAGACATCTTTCCAATGTTTATATACAGATCTATTTCTTTATTTTTACAAATTAACTGTCCTAAGCTTGTTTCCTTAGAAATAAAAACAAGTGCCAGGTGCAGTGGTTCACATCTGTAATCCCAGCACTTTGGGAGGCCAAGGTTGGAGGATCACTTGAGGCCAGGAATTCGAGACCAGCCTGGGCAACACAGCAAGACCATGTCTCTACAAAAAAAACCCCACCTTTTTTTTGGGGGGAGTGGTCAGGGCCAAGATATGTAACCCTAACAATATTTGTAACCCCATAATATGAAGTAATAATAATAAAAAAAAAACTTTTTTTTTTTTTAATTAGCTGGGTGTGGTGCCACGGACTATAGTCCTAGCTACTTAGGAGGCTGAGGCAGGAGGATCACTTGAGTCCAGAAGTTGGAGGCTGCAGTGAACTATGATCACATCATTGTACTCTAGCCTAGGAAACAGAGTAAGACTCTGTCTCTATAAAAAATAAAATAAGCAAACTATGGACTATATATCAATACATCTTTAGGTAAAAACAGACTTAAGAAATAATGCTGATGGGGGGAAAAAGGACAAAATATGTTGATACAGGACACAACTTATGGGCAAACAAAAAGTATTTATGGAGTACCTATTTTGAGACAAGCATGGTGCTAAGCACCTCGAATATATTATATCATCTAATCTTCACAGCCACCCAGTGAATCAGCTCCCATGATTACCCTATTTTCCTAGAGAAGACACTGGGGCTTGCATGGAGGACGAATGACCAAGGTCTCATGGTAGTAAGTGGGACTCAAACTAAGCCAGACTGACCCACTGGCCTGCTGCTGCCCCAGCAAGTCACTTAACTCCCTAAGCCCCTCCCCAAACAGAGATAAACTTCGTGGTGTTAGTAACAACTGAAATCACCTACATGCTTCATCCTTGACCACAATACTGCTCTGCTTTCCAATTATGTGAAAGTCTCTGTTCCTAACAGCCAGTACTGTCCAAGAGGACTTTGTGCTACAACAAACATGTTCTAGATCTGCACTGTCCAATATGGCAGCCACTAGCCATGTGTAAAATGTGGCCAATGGAAACGTTTTTTGTTGTTGTTGTTTTTTGAGACAGAGTCTCACTTTGTTGCCCGGGCTAGAGTGAGTCTGTAGCGTCAGCTAGCTCACAGCAACCTCAAACTCCTGGGCTCAAGTGATCCTTCTGCCTCAGCTCCTGAGTAGCTGGGACTACAGGCATGTGCGACCATGCCAGTAATTTTTCTATATATTTTTAGCTGTCCATTAACTATTTTGGTAGAGACTGGGTCTCGCTCTTGCTCAGGCTGGTCTCAAACTCCTGCATCAAATGATCCACCCACCCCGACCTCCCAGAGTGCTAGGATTACAGGTGTGGAGCCCAGCCAGAAACAAAGTTTTTAGTGCTACTGAATTGCAAATAATTTTAAACTGCCACATGAGACAGCTCAGGTTTATTCAATAAGGATGGAACATTCACTATTAAATGCAACAAAAAAGCAAAAGGTGTTGGCTTGGCTTTGGAGTCTTTAGCCAACTTCCGTAACTTCTTGGGGGCCTTGCTTTTCACATCTGCACAGGGAAATTCTCAGCCTTGCTTCACAGCAGTACTGTGAGGGTTTAAAATGCATAGGAATACTCTGAAGAGTTTGGCCATATTAATATGTTTAGCCTGTAGACTGACTTAAAAGGCAAGGCCACCATGTGCTATGATCTGTCTGAATGTGTCTCTCAAACTTCATGTGCTGGAAACTTAATCCCCAGTGCAGCAGTGTTGAAAGGTGGGACCTTTAAGAGGTGACTGGGTCATGAGGGCTTTGCTCTTAAGTATGGATTAATGCCATCATTGCAGGAGTGGTCGTATCAGGGGAAGTGGGTTGCTAAGAGAGCTAAGATCCTTTCCTCCTTCTCTCTGGCATGCTCTTGCCCTTCACATCTGCCACAGGATATAACATATGATGGCCCTCACCAGATG